TTCGTCGTGGAGCGGCGCATCGAACGGCAGGTGCGTGTTTTGGAAATGTTGAGTCAAATTAGTCTAGAATCGATTAATTTTATGGAAGAAAACCTTTCAAACAGCCGTAGTCCGTATACTGTACACGTGCCGGGGTGTGATTGGCTGATGTATTTAAGGATTTCTACAACGTGAAATTCTTATAAAGTGTAACGTATCTACCGTGTTATAAGGGGGTCGACTGTATTCTACTTTTCAATCCGATTTTACTTCGACGACTGCCATGTTAGTTGGAAATAATCCACAAACTGTACAGCGAACACCGGCAATCATAATATACAGATTGTATCTAAATTGGTGTCCATAAGTGTAGGGATGTGTTCCTGACACCATAACATTACAAAGAGTTTATATGAACATGGGTCCAAAAATTCTTTGTTAGGGAATTATAGGGTTTATTGCTAATAATACATATGAGGAATTTAACAACATATATTTATAAAAATTGCTCGAAATCACCTCCTTCTGCTTAGCTGCTTCTCCTGAGCCTGTGTTCCGTGCTTTGCCTACTCTGTTTCCTGGATAGTTTTCGAATATTGTTGAATTCATTTTGGATCAACTCCTGTACCCAATCTCGATGTTCTGAGGTATCTTATCCAAATTGGCATTGATCAAATTCGCATAACTTTCCAAGCTTCACCACGAACTTTCGCGGTGAAGCTTGGAAAGTTATGCGACTTTTTAATTTATTAAATGTTTTTTTTGTGATATCATGTTACAAGGAAATTAAAATTTCAAATTATCAAATTTTAATGCAATCGATATTAAAACTCATAGTCTGAGAGTAACATTATATTCTGAAAGTAAACTATGTAATCTCTGCAGGTAATCCAGGAATTTCAACGTAAAAACTCAACGGCTCGGCAGTGTTTTCTATGAAAACAATTTTTCCTAGAAATAGAAAGATAAAATGAAACTCGCATGCTGGATGTAATGTCAGACCGAACTTTCGGTTTACGTTTCAAAATCCAGTTTCGGTCGAATCTTACAAGTTAGCTGGATGGATCGGACCACTCGATAATAAATAAGACAGACTTTTTTCACTTGTGAAGAGGATGAGAAAAAAGGGGAGAAGCAACGATTTACAAGAGAAACACCAAGCTTTTAACTTTAACCAGCTGTGGAGTTGTAATCGTACTCTTTTGGCTACGATAAAACACCATGGCCGTATCACAATAGAAATATGTCTACTAGCAGATGAGCAAGGCGTTAATCGGGCAAAAAATAATGATGCAATAAATAATAATGCTGACTAAATGACTAAAAAACAAACGATTAAACGATCGAAAAATAAAACGTTTCTACTATTTTCACGTTGTAACAGATCCTATGTTAATTTTTCTTACAAAAAGACAAACTAAAACGAGCAAATACTTATAGAAATTTTTAATTATATTTTTAATTTATTTAATTTGAAATATTCATTTTCACTTCAAATTACAGTCGATCCCCCTATAAGATCATTGATTTTTCCGTTTTATCTGAATTACATGTTGTACGAGTCACTTAGATTTTACAAATATGTGTGCCAGTCTTGCTCTTATACATCGTACTTTTCCTGTTAGTAATATTGTCGTGCCGGTCATCTGTGTAATTCTTTAGAAGGAAAAATATTTCAATTGAAATAACGTGACTTTCGGTTTGCATCAAAAGTTCGGGGCTTTGTGCCCCATCTCATTCCACGTTTGCTCTTGACTTTTGTCTATCTAACACCGTTGTGGTATGACAAACGAACAGATCACAATGAGAATTTATAGGTCTACAATTTTATCATATTGCAGCCAACAAACATCAATTTATGTTAAGTATTAGTATAAAATTGATCGTAGATTTATAACTTTATTTGGAATTTCAATTTAATAATAAGCACGTTTATATTGTCAAATGAATTATTTAATGGAAATACGAGAATAATATAAAGTAGTTAGTTAACAGTTCGAAATACAGTGTTGAAAGGTTATGTAAACACTGACATCAAGGCAGTGGCGTAGCGTGAGTGTCAGCCGCCAGGGGCGGAGGAAAATTTCGCCCCCCTTATTTAGGTATCTTAATTTAAAAGACTGAAATTCAGTTTCATCACAGAATAACTAATGAAAAATTCCGTGCTAGTGTTGCCACTTTTTTAAAATCGCTGATCCGGACGGCAGGTGAGGTTTGTTCGAACAGAAGTTCCTGACGCATGCGTATGTCATTTTGCAATGCGAAGAATAATTTGCGGTGCATGCTGGTTCTAAATCAGTTACAGTTAGCGACTAGGGATACTTGGATAGGAGTAACGCAAGTGACCTAGCTCTATTGGATATTGAAGGTGTATATATATACTAATAAATCGAACAAGAAAGAAAAGACCAATAGATTGCGCACGATATCCCCTGACGGCGAGTCGATTCGCGGACGGTCCGGATGGTATTCCATGCTCATTTCAATCGGTCCGAATCGTAGGTGCACGAAAATATGAAATAAAATGGTTTAATTCTTACAAGATATTATTATTATTTATTGTAAAATTTTGCCGCCCCCTAAAAAGTGCCGCCCGGGGCGGGCCGCCCCTGCCGCCCCCACTACTCTACGCTACTGCATCAAGACGAAGGTTTATGAATTTATATGAAATTAAAGCATCTGTTTCATATACTACACGGTTTGTCTGACATGGAGGAGATAAATAAAAATTATATAAAGTATCTTAATTTTCTCTTTATTGTTATTATTATTATTATATTTTTAATTTATATCATCTCACTTATATTATGTATCCATGTACTTCTATGTATCTAGTACCATGTCTAACTGGGTTATACATTTGTGGCACCCAGTATTTACTGTACTCCAGTAAGTTACAATAAAATATCTATCTATCTATCTATATAAAGTATCTATCAAAATGTGTTCACATTCTTCGTGAAGAACGGTCTTAATTTCCAACACTGCCTGTACAGGATGAAGCTTGATTCTAACTTTTCATCTCGAACAGTTTTCACGATGTTGAGTCAGATAATAGTAGACATCAAGGAATGTGTAGAATTTCATTCTAATGTTCATAAAACAACGACGGGACACATTCGGCAATGTAAATCCGTGTGATAGAGTTAATCGCTCAAATCGATTAAATTTTGTTGTGCTACGTCTGATTAGGACACTGCGAAATTTCTTATATTCTCTTAATCGATTATTTATAGCAATTACAATCTTATTACCAGTATAATTTTATATGAAATATATTAAATGCATTTTCAATTTATTAAAATTTCCATGCCCACATTAGGATATACATAATTTTGTACAGAGAAACAGAGAAATTTTCGGTGATATCATTATTTAATATAATGTTCGTAGTTTGAAATGAAAAAGAATTACGTAAGTTTTACTATGTTTATTTCATTTATTATTAAGCACATTTATACACTATCAAATGAATTAATAGAAATACGAGAAACATATAAAATACTTAGTTAACAATTCGAAATACAGAGTTGAAATAACTTTTCAACTCTGTTAATTTGAATTTCTGTGAACAGTAACATCAAGCCGAATGTTCATTGATGAAAGATAAAGCATCTTTATGTAGTACAGCTTTTGTATGACATGGAAGAGATAAACGACGATTATAGACAGTATCGACGAAAACGTATCCACATTATTCGTGAAGAACAAACTCAATTTCCAAAATTGCCTGTAGAGAATTAAACTTTCTTCTAATCATTTCCAGGATAGTTATATGATGTTCAGTCAGAATATTGTAGCGGTCAAGAAAGGTGTAAACTTCATCCTGATGTTCGTGTAACCACAACTGGAAACATTCGACACTGGGATAGAGTTAAGTTTCCTATCCGCACACTAAGAAATACATAATTTCGTACAGAGAAAGACAGAAATTTTCGGAGATATCATTACGTAATGTAATGTTCGTAGTTTGCAATAAAAAAAAATTACGTAAGTTTGACTATTGTTAATTGCTTATTTTATATTATAATTACAACACAAATACAATAACGATTACTTCGAAATACGATAAAAATTTTACATGATTCTACAGCACAAATGAACGGATTGAGAAATGGCGATATCGGTAGGAATTAGATATAGTGCATAGAGATATTCTTATAATAAATTAAGGGGAACATATGCAATCGGTTATCAAACGTTTTCCAATTAAATCTTAAGTAGAGCGTGCAGATGATTTTGTCTTTACCTTGCTTAATTTACCAATTGCAATTTCCGTAACAAATACTACAAGACCAACAGCATACCCTGTAAACAATACATAAAATACACCTTCAAGATCTTCGAATTTCAGGAATATTTCTTCATCGTCATCATTTTTTGCGTAGAATTCGTAATATCTTCGATCTTCCTCTAGAATATCAGCTTGTATTTTTGCTGGAATACCACTTTGTTGAAGAATAACGATCCTAAAGTAAATATATACTGTAAGCTGACGGAATAATTTAAATATTTGGCAATAAATGATGTATTAGAATTATGTTTTTACTTACATTCTGACGATTTCTTCAGCGTGATTGAACCTCACCAAATTAAATCGAACGTAACGAAAGTTAAGGAAAATGGTATCTGGAGATAAATAGAATTTTTCCTTTCCGCATTTCATCATTTTTAACTCCAAGAGGAATTTTTGTCCAAGAGCAGCTTCGGTTCCATTGAGTACTTTGTAAATTGGACCGTCATGATAATGCAATTTGATGCTTTCTGGAGAGTTCATAAAAATATTATCGGAAATCGTTCGTATCATTTCGTTGTTTTCTGCTAATCTTTCTGAATCCTGAAAAAAACAATAATGTTTAAAAAACTCGTAATTCCGGTTAATCACGTCTTCATTGAGTCTATAACTAATAATATTATTAAAATTCTAGCAACGAGTTGCTTAACTTTGCCGGCAACATTTAATGGAGTCATCTGCTATTATATTTTATTAAAACATTTTTTATTTGGTAAGTTGAAATTGAAAACTTTTACCAGATTTTCTGTACCAAGAAACCTTTTTTTTTTCCTTGGTAAGAATTCATATAGAGAAGAAACCCTTTGGGTTTTTCTCCTACGTGTTAAATAAATATTTGCCCTAGGGCGGAGCGCGAATAAATTGTACTCGGGGTCTATACATTTTTAAATAATTTCTTTTTATATGCAGAATGTCCGATTCCGAATTTGAATGCTCTGATTTATCAGGAAGCGAATCTGAAGAGAGCGTCACAAGCGGTAGCGATCTAGAATATAGTGACAATTTTGATGGAAACATCGATTCTTCAAAGGAATGGTGCGAGATAAACACAGAAAATCCTCCTCCCCCTCCTCCACGCTTTCGTTTTCTGGCAACTCCTGGGTGTACTTTTACTCTAAATGATATGTTCGATCCGTTAGAATATTTCAGATTATTTTTTGATATTAAGTTAATTAATATTATTGTTAAAGAAACTAACCGTTATGCGATGCAACAACCAAAAAGAACCAGAAAGCATTGGGATTCCATTACAACAGAAGATATTTATGTATTTCTCACAATTTGTATAATTCAGGGAATTATCCATAAACCGGAGGAGAGGATGTACTGGAACACGAATGAAATATTTCTCACGCCAATTTTTAGTAAATTGATGCCAAGAAACAGATTTTTACAAATAAATAAAAATTTACATTTCAACAATAATGACAATTACGATTCGACAACCAATCCCGATTCGAAAATAAATAAAATTTGGTCAATAGTAGCAAATTTAAATAAAAAATTTTCACATCTTTATGTACCAGAAAGAGATATATCAGTAGACGAGAGTCTTATGCTTTACAAGGGTCGTCTTTCGTGGAAACAGTACATTCCACTGAAACGGTCTCGTTTCGGAGTGAAATTCTTTATGCTATGTGAATCTGCATCCGGCTACTTGTACAATTTTATAATTTACACCGGAAAAGGTACTAGTTTTAATGAAAAATACCAAGAAATGCNAATTAAAACTTTTACATTCCGTTATTTTTATTCCAAGTATCCGTCTCACGCGAATACTACGAACACAATTAATGTTAAATTATAATTTGTTTTATACACATCGTACTTTTCGTAAATATAAATAACGCAGACATGGATGGGTGGGTGTTCAGATATTTGTTACAATAGATCATATGGGTGTGAAGAGTTCGCAATAAACTGTTTTATTAATAGTATAATGTCAACTCTTAGAAAACAGGATCATTTTTATATCCGGAGAGTTGAATAGCAAACCGTACTCTTTATGTCTTTAATAATTAAGTAATAAAATAATTATATAAATATTGAGTTGAATACTAAATAAATTTTGAAAATTGTTAAGAAAAGTATATGTAGATTTTTATAATAAACAGAATAATAACGAAATATTACAATAAGAGGATAAGGCTTGATCAATGATACGGCTTTCCCTAAAGGTCTTGCTGCTCGGATTAAGAAGTGAGTAGATGCATCAAATATTGGAGAAGAATATCCAACAAATTTTTTCCTACTAGTGTAGTAAGAAAACGAAATTCCCAACTAAAATTAAAAAAAGAAAATTTTTCAATATTTATAAGAATTAAAATGATTTACTTATTTATAAAACGTGCAATACGAACCATGTCAGAGGAGCGACCATCAAAGAATCTATAAAAAAAACAACAGTTATTACGATTGATATGCTTTGTGCAGTATTTCAATAAAAAAATAGAATCTTACTTTACTCCAAGAGAGTTTCCTAGAAAATCCTGATATTCTAACAAGGGTGACTTCTTATTCACATTGGTGAAACCCCACTAACGTGATAAAAGTATTAAAAAATAAAAGTTTATTTCTATATTTCAAATGAATATTTTATTTTCTTTTTAAAATTTTGCTACATTGCTTTATTTGTTAACGTGAGTTACAGTCAAACGTTACCATGCTAACCACAGTTGCGCTCGTTAGACCAGAGTGACCGGTATTGAGATCAACTAACTTATCTGAGAGAACACTGATGTCATTCGTTCTATCTATGAAATATTCAGATAAAGATCGTATTTGACCAGAACCTTTAGCGTTGTCGCGTAGCCATTAAAGTACGCTGTTATGAAAGAACAACAAATATAATTAGACACCAATAAATGGTGTCTAATTACATTTGTTATTCTTTCAAAACAGCGTAACTTACTCGTGTTGGACAACATTCCCCATAACATTTGTATCTATGCTGATAAATTCGAGTAAATGTCAAAATTGTTTATTAATTATTTAGCAATGGTAATGTAATTGCTGTTCACTTTACAGGCGATCATCGATAGAAGAATAAACGGAATGCAATTATTATATCGAAATAATGCAATCTTCTTCTTTGCTAACATTTTGTATTCACGGTATCGAAGATCAAGATCTTAATGTGAAATCATTGACATAAAACATGATTCTTGGTCTTAGTCAGACGTTTGAAAACTGTTATTCAGGTCTACCACTCATGCATGATACTGAGTATTTTGGTCAGATATATGCAGTCGGTTTGATCTTGCCATTACAGTCGCACGTGCTATTGCAAGCCTGTCATAAGCATAAGTAAACGTTCTGTTTGTACCCAAAGCAAAGCTAAATTAACAAATAAAAACTGAAAATCAAGAAGCTTTGTTAATCTACTCAATACGAGAAGAGCCGTTTATAACCAAAATATAATTTTGAAATTAATTACTTAACACGCTTACTGAACGCGTCAAGATACGAAGAAATACTTACTTTATCACGTGCCACATACATAGCTTTTCCTTTTAAACTCTCGAATTTATACATCTTCGTAACATTGTATTCATTACAAATAAATGAATTCTCCGTATTACACTGAAAAATATTCAAGACATATTAAGTTAAGATTTACATACAAATCTATACTATATAGAGTGTTATTAGCCTATATTTCGTATCTGCGTTTACTTGGTGGCTGCATGATAAATTATTACTTTACCATTGTGGACTTCCAGATTTGAATTCAGTTCATATTTCCGTGTCTTGATAGATGTACTTTGGGGGACTCGTTCTCTATCCCTCAACCATTCCGATGAATCTTACCATAAGCTATCCTATTTCTGTAGTAAGCACAACTGTAGCCGGATGTAGCCGGAACTTTTAGTCTTACTTATATATTTTCGATAAGAATGAGTATTTCTTATTTGCATTATACGTTGTGATAAGTATTAATACTACTTTGCATGCGATCGAACTTTACCAAATGGGATGTAACCTTTCGCTTTTGGAAGTTTCTAAATAATTTATTTTTTAATTTTAAACGAGAGGAAATTCCAGAGTTTTCTGAAATTTGCTTCCTCATCAAAGCAATAGACAGGGGCAATAGGTCACAGGCACAAGACCGAGGAAGACACAGAAATAAAATCTTGGTTAGGACATATAGAAAGCTAGTTATGGCACTGCAAGTGTTTGTGTAATTGTAAATATCCGCGCAATTCATTGTCGAATCGCTGTTGTAAAATCAAATATTAAAAACGAATTTCAATGTTCATACCGAAAAGTATTGCATAGGCTTAATGATTAATAAACGCAATCATTAATATATTACAATGTTTATAAACGGCTGCAGTTACTTTTATTCTGGAAGGCTTGACTCCAATCCGTCTTGACAGATTATTCACCCATAGGTGCTTGCCCGCTCTATAGAGGGTTGCTAGTGTAGGAAATGAATACGGAACTATGTCTTGAACTACTATCGATAATAATTATATTATCTGCACCAGTGTTTAACTTGGATGCCACACTGCAACATTGTCTTGGGATGATTGCTGTTCTGATCTTTCAATATTGCGTAGCATTCAAACACTATAGAAAAGAAATATTCCTATGTTTTTAATTTTCTACTCGAAAGAATATGTTATATCAATTTAATACAACTGATCAATTTTTAAACTTTTTTTGCCCTGTGGGCACTAAGAAGGCGGCATTTTAGCAAGCCCATTATAAGTTCGGCCAGGCCCACAATGAGGCGGTTGGGTGATCATTGTAATAAAAAAATGCAATAATTTAAAATTCGTTTTTAATTAGAGGAAGACATTATGGACATAATTAAAGTATCTTTATTCAACGCCGTAAGTAGGAATATGTAGCAGTCGAAACACAACCAAATTTTGAACGCTGATATCACGAGGCAAGTGGAAGAATTTCCTGCAAGAGTAAACCTTAATTTAAAACTTATTAACAACTTGGGCATTGTGTCACATGCACAATGCCCAAGTGCAACAGGCAAGTTCTGAGTATAAAATTGCCCGCGACAAGTGGAAAGGCATTCAACTATGGTTGTGACTTTGCAGGTACAGGCGAACAAATGTTTTTCTATGTTCAATTTCATTGCTTATTTCGGTTAGTTTACCGTTTTGTGTTACTGTTACCTATTACAGAGCCACAAGTTAAATACTCAGTGAAAGTAATTTTTCCACAAGACGTACGTTCTATGTCCTGAAACATTACAATACAAAATTGGAACTGTTACGATCCCAAAATGTCGAAAAAGGAAACTTTAGTTATAATCATCCTGCATTTTTAACATTGTAAAATAATTACAGTCGACCCCCCTATAACACGGTAGATACGTTTCGTTCTATATGAATCCATTTTGTACGAGTCCTTGCCAATCACAGCCCGGCACGTATGCACTTTACGGACTACAGCTATTTGAAAGGTTTTCTTCCATAAAATTAATCGATTCCTAGACTAATTCGACTCAACATTTCCAAAATACGCATAATTTTTTGGGAATAATCCGTATAAACTATGCTATAAACAAAAATTTGTAGGATTACTTACCGAGTGTGAACCGTTCGACCTCACCATTGCTCAAGCTTGTTTTCGTCGCGGAGCAGCGCACCAAACGGTACCGCGATTTCTGATAAGTTATTTTTCTGCGAAAAATTCGTTGAACTTTGGAGACATTACTAATAGAAATATTTTTCATGGCCGTTGAATAAGAAATGTTTCTTTCACAAGAAATGTATAAAATTAGTGCTGTATTAGACTTACGGTACCTAATTTACATACTGTACAGACGATAGTAAACTCAACTTACTCGCCTAAACTTTCCGTAGCGTGGCGCAGGACGGCGGAAAGTATATATATACAGTAAATAGAATAAAGTTACAATAAATTAAGTTAATATATAATTATATGTACATTACCTAATTTACATACAATTTATACCTAATACTGTACAGACGATAGTAAACTGAATTTACCCGCCTAAACTCTCTGTAGCGTGGCGCAGGACGGCGGAAAGTAGTTCGGCTGCCCGATGACGTTTTACCGAATTATAGGAGTTTTTTTACCAGGTTTGTACGGATACCGTCGCAATTTTTTCGCCGTCATATAGGAATCGGAATTATAGAAACCCGTGTTATAGGGGGTCGACTGTATATCAATATTAGATAATAATTCGCCAATAAAATAACAGGTAAATCCAAGAAAGCGTATGATAATTATAAACAATATTTGCTTACTATTTGTATGAACGTTTCTTCAATATTTACGATAGAAGTATTTTTCAAAAGTTCACTAAATGCGAATCGACGATTTCCAGACGTGTAAAAGAATGTAATCTGTGTATTTATGTACAAGTTATCTTCAATGTACGCTTTCACAATGAATCCCTTTTGAATGATTCTACTCGGCAGTTCCTCTAAAATATATAAATTATTCATTAAAGTTATTAAACAAAAATTTTGAATAAATGCCTGTCAACAGTGATCATAATAAAGAAATTATTACCTATGGAAATAATTCAGCATTGTAATTTTATTTGAGTTTATCGTGTACAGTAATTTTTTGATAGAAACGAGATAACCATATGAATTTATAGTTATATTTTAGTATACAGTACTTTGAATTATTCTATTAAACCCATTTAAAACGAACGTATCGTATACGGTTAGAATTTACTTTCAAGATCATGTTCGTACAGACCATGCTTGAAGATTTTTGAGAATCCGAGATTATCTTCCTTATCTCGAATAAATGTTCACGGATTTCTTTCATGCAATCCGGAAGTATTTCTTATTGATCTTGTATTGTTTGTCAAAACGCTTGTAATCTTCATCTTCTTTTCCAGCATTTTGGTATGTATCTTTTAATTCTGGATTTGCATTTTTCTACACATTCCCTAACCTCTGGTATCGTTTCACTACTTTATGAATGATGTCAGATGGTACGATCTGCTTCTGGAAGTGTTTGACAATCTTCTTCCTGTTGTAGCTATTGTCTTGGAGAAACTTGAACATTTCATGCGTTTAAAACTAGAATCTTGCTTCCTTCATTTTGCAACTTCTTTCTCTATGGCAATTATGATATTTAAAGAAACCCCTTTTTTAAAGTTTTGAATTTCTTGTTTACATTTCATTGATTAACAACTTACGTTCAAATGTTTTGGTTAGATTTAAATATTATCTATTAGTTTATTTCACAAAATTCAAGTCAATTGTATAGTCTTGTGGACACTAAGAGTAAAAAATTCAGTAACGTAAACGTTACTGAATTTTTTAGCTATGTGTAAACTTATGAATAAATTTCGATAGTAAGTCTCGAGATTACTATCAGAGCATCGTCCATTTGATAGTAGTAAAGGATCTCAGTAAACTCTTGGATACTCCAATAAAACAGAGATAAATTTCAGTTTTCTCTATATCGGAAAAAATAATTGGGACTTAACACTATTGTGAAATGAATGATCGTAAAGGTTTAACATTTCTTGTGAAGAATATAATAAGAGTACAAATACTACAAGAAATTGCTGACGTAGGCAACGAGTGTAACGTAATACAGGAATTTTGTGAGGATGTCAGCAGAGCAGTTGAAAATTTTAAGTAATTTAATTGGCTCACAGATTATCAAACGAAATACGAAATTAACAAATGAAATTTCTGCAAAAGGTAGGTTTGTATATACAATGTTTTTCTTTTTTATATTTTGAAACAATTCAAAAGGAATTAATTTAAATTTATAATGTAAATTAATCTTTAGTATTACAGTAAAACTACTCACTTTCGAAATCTGTGGGATTTTTATAAGTCAGTTTACCGTAAGTTATCAAAATGTAGCATAATTCCAGCATTAGCATCATCTTGAATGTAGTTCTACAATAAATAAATACATATGTAACATGAATAAAAAAAAATATAAATTAAATCTTAATGAAATTTGTATTATTTGATTGTATTCTTGGCATAATTTTTTATAGTGACAGCCGAGTGCAGAGATTCTAAACGGATTTGCATGATACTCTGGGAAATCCGGAATCAATTGTGGTTGTGTTCTCAAAAATTTTATGAAAATTAGAGGAATTAGCAGTGGCGACAGATAATTGTGGTTGAAATTAACAATACGTTATCAAAGAAGTTTGCTCGAAGTACGCGATATATGTTGTTATTTAACGTGCATTCTAATCATCTGTTTACATTTGAAATGGCAGCTGAAAAGATTGTGATAAACAATGTAAGAAACATTAGTTTCACATGGCACTGTTCTGTTAGAACATATTGCACATGGATGGCAGAAATTGACTGATTGTGTAATGAAAGTTGTGCAGAATACGAAACGCAATGAACAAATGTAATGATTATAAGTAAAAACAAAAGAAAAGAGGGAATGTTTACACGTTTAAAAACTATACTATGAAATGTTTTCTTAGAGTTTAATTTCGGGCATACATTAAATGAATGGTATCATCCTTCTTGTGATATAATATATTGCTGTGTATGTGGGAACATGATTTTTTTCACCCTCTTTGAAAACTTAATTACTTCTGTCTTTGGTCGAAAAATTTCTGAAATTTTGCGTAGTGGTTGGTTTATTAGGAAATTGATGCTATTAAATTTTAGTGCTTAATTGATTAATGGTCGAAAGGTAGAGAGATAAATGGAGTTTTGTGTCTTTTCAGTGTGGTCAGATTTATTGATGATTTTACTTGTTATTAGCATTTACAATTTATTTTTTTATATAAATTCATCTTTAACATCAAATTAATGCTTTTGCCATTTTATAATAGTTAAAAATATAAAAAAGTTCTTTCCATGTATTATGATAACAGATAGCTCCACCAAAACTTCAAATGTAGTGGGAAAGTTGAGCAACTCGTTGTTGGTTTCTTTCATAATTATATTTTAAAATAAATTTATGAATAAAATATAATAAAACTTACCAGTTTTTAAGAAACAAATCCAATTTGAAAATTTAACTTTTCCACTATGTTCCCAGCTCTTTCCTGTTACCTGAGTGTTTCAAGTAAATATTGTGCATGTAGTGACATAAATTAGAGTTTGTCACATCTCTATGACAACACAACGGTTCATTAAAGTTACTAATAAGCCAATAAACAATCGAACATATATATAAAAAATTTCAAAAAATATTTATGAAATATATAGCAGTAAACTGATTAAGTAGCGTAAATCAGGGTTAGATGATGAACACGTGTAATTACTGTAGCCTATAAAGTAAACGTTAGCACCAGGTGTATATATCATACATTGTGTTAGCTGTAAACTATTTTTGCTGTATGTGGTGTTACGTACAATTTTTGTACAAATAGGTGAATAAATGTAATACTTCTGTTTCGCATGTGAAGAACTTTTTACACATGTTTGTGTTCACTGTACCTCGAAAATCTTCAGTTTTGATGCAACAGCGGACGACTTTTTTTTATTGCATAAGTAGTAGTTATTCGATACAATTTGGGGTAACTTTTTAAGGAATATGATTCGTTTTAATTTTCTTTTCTGAATTTATTTAATTTTTCTATCATATCACCAAGAACCAACATAATGTGTTTGTATTCTAAAAAACTCTATATTAGGATATATATTTTTACTTTTTATACGTGTAAAATTACCACACATTTTAATAGAAGTTACAACTGTAGAGGTTGCAATATTGATAAAAAAATATACAACAATATTGATTAACATATTTTTTTAGTACATTTCTAAAAAGTATTTCTTAATTACAATTAATACAATTACATTTTATCGCACAATGGTATTGTTATCTTATAACTTAAAACAAAAAGATATACATTCATATATTTTATTTTGTGGTCATTTTAATGATGCCAATTTATTCCTTGCTTGTTTTAGGCACAGATATCTTTTATTGCAAATACTGTGTATTAATTAAGTAAGTTTAAAATTTTCTAGCCTGTTGCATAATACTAAATATTTATATAGAAAGGATGATGATATACTAGAATGTATAAGAATTAAGAGTAAAAGGTATAATGATTAAATGATATTACAACTATCCCATTATCTAAAATAGGAAGAAGGATATTTTGTTCTGAAGATACGTTAAAAAATTTTTTGTCTGTTTTTTTTTTATTTTAATTGTTGAAAATATATGAATAAGTTTTCGGTTTTAATGAACAAAATTCAATTATTGGTTTTGATAAAGTTTCATCTTAAAAATATTCTAATTTATTTATGTTTGTTACATTATACAGGGTGGGCAACGGAAAAGTAGCCTGCCTGTTGTAAATATAAAGACACGAAGAATGAGACATGAAGAATTTACATTTTTTACTGTATTTATTTTAAAATATTTTATATGTAATTTTTAAAACTATTATTTATTAATTTAAAAACAGATTTATCAAAATCATTTGCGGATTGCGGATTTCTTTTTTTGATTAAAAAAAATACATTTTTTATGAGCCATGCATCATCATTTTAATCAATATTCGTTATCACTGTGGCATAATTGGCTATATTGATCGTAACTATATCAACCAAATAAAAGAAATATACATATATAATTTTCTGTTATAATTATTTTATAAAATAATAAAAGATTGAAACAAATAAGAATTTATATCTTGATCAAAAAATATTTAACTTGAATTAAATGTAAAAAAAGAAATCGTTAAAATTTATTATGGTATGGCCTGAATAAGACAAATGTAAAAATAATTTAACTAAACGTGATTATTATTATTCAAGGTGAAGCCCAACTGTACTTATGGGCTAAATATGAAAAGATGATGAAATGATGAGTATGAGAGAGGTGAGAAAGATGACAGATCTAAGTAAGATACTAAAGTGATATGGTAAATCATGAAGTATCGTATTTTCGCGGAATGACCGACATGCCACATAAAATCAGAGGAGAGCGGGATGCNGGCAAAAAGCTTAATTTTGAAAGTAAAGATGAGTTTTGTAAAAAGTTTTAAATGATGATAACCAGTAAAATCGTCATTAAGTCTGATCTTACTGGCGATACTCACGACAGTCTTTATCTCCCCATCCCTGGATCTTTAATCACAAAAATTTTATTGCATCAATCCCTATAATAAACAAACTTTCCTGCAAAATTTCGGAAATTTTCCACAAAAATCGCAGGAATAATTAAGCTTCTTAGTGTATGTGGAAGACGATTTTGTTTATCCTGTTTGATAAACAAATTCGAGTCGCACACACACACACTAACAATCATACATATAGAAAAACAACCCGAAATTTTTTTCTCTTTCTGGACATTTCAAACTGTCATAACTCCAATAATGTAAAATTCTTGAAAAGGGTCATGTTTTGACCGATCTCAACACTTTCCTCTGTTATATATAAAAGACACGAAAGTAAAAGCGATGTTTTAATAACATGAAAATACAACCTTACGAACCTTATAAACGTGAAAAATATCCATTTCTTCACTACCGGCATATATTGTGACGTTGAACTTTCCTTCTTTTATTGCTTGTGTCAATTCCATGAAATTCTGAGGAATAAATTCACTGCCTGGATTAACCATGAAAGAAGGAAGAATTCCAAGATATCCAGTGGTGAATATAAAAGTAGTTAAAATCCAGCAACTTATCATAATGCGAAAAGTGTAAGTGGTTCTGTGGTCAATAACCGAGTCTATAATTTATAAATGAAATTAATAAATTTAGTTTAATTAACTTAAAATTACAAATTACTGGAATTGGTAACAAACAACAGGAAGACACGGGAGATTATATACACCTGCAATTTTGAAATTGCAAGTGTATTCAGTCTCCGGTTTGCTTGTCTGTCCTTTGTTAACCTCGAAAACGGAGGTAGATAGATGAAAATCGTTTACAGCGTCAGTCTGTGGTTCTTTAAACCTACACTTTTCTGTGGGAAAGTATTATGAGCATTTTTATTTGTAGTCTATCCTGGAAATGTTCGGGTCCATTCGTTATAACGCGGCAATTTCATTGTATGCTTGTCCAATCCATAATGAATATGAAATAAAGTCTGTTTACTGACCACAAAAGAAGAAATGAGGTAAATCGAAGTCATTCAGTAAGGAAACAATATGCAGTCATCTACCTAACTCTGTTTCGGAAAAAATTTTACTCACGACTTCCGGATGGACGTAATATTAATTCAAATTGTTTTTCAGGTTAAGACAAAGAGTTCATGTATAGTTAATAGGGTAGCTTTCTTAGGGTCTGAAGCCCTAAAAAAATTGATTTTCTTGTCTCGTGATTAATGAAGTACATACCGCCTGACGATTGTAAATGTTTAGGTATGCAATTTGAAAATTGCAGCCCAATAGAATTTAAGTAAACTCACCTTGTCGAAGAAGGTTTCTTATAAAAATCCATGTTAAATCAAAAATTGTCAAAGTTTGCACTCCCTTAACTTCATTTTCTTTGTTCATTATTCCATACATAATTATCAAAGTTACAGGAAACATTGTTAAGAAGCAGAGCCAAACCTGTAACATATACAAATGAACTTTCTTTTTATGTAAGCTTTAATTATGATTTCCTTAAAAATAAATAATTAATTCAACAAGACTATTAATATACGAAATGTATCATTTGCATTTAGTTACACGAAAATTTATTTTGTATTAAGTATAAATTGTTTTTGAGATTTTATCTGATATCAGAAGGATTAGAAGTTACTTTCGAGTAGAAAGTAATTAATTAGAATAAAAGTATTTTTTCGTACAATCCGCAAAATCTATGTAAAGAAAGCGAAAGTTGGGCATTTGATTTGTTTTTGAAAGACCTTTTGTAAGTTGTATGCAGTGGTACAATAGAAAGATACCAGTTATGTTGACGAAATACTAATTTCAGTGGTTTTCTCCATTCGGCCTTTGATGAGCGGCA